AACAGTGCCCGTGTTTGTTGGCCTAATGTTCCCTGTGCCAGTGTCTGTGATTTGAGCTGTGGAAATAAAAACTTGTTTCAGTCACATTAACTGAATCCCCTGGAATTGAAAAAGCTGAAATATTTGGCTGTCCCCATATAGTTGTGGGTTCTGCTGGCGGAGTAAGAGGATGAGAGAATGTGTTTGTGTGTGTCAATGCATATGTTTGTGTGTGTGTGTGTTTGAGGAAGAGAGAGATACAGAGAGTAAGAGAGGACTGTGGGACATACAGTTGAAGTCAGAAGTTGACATACACTTAGTTAGGTTGGAGTCATTAAAACTTGTTTTTCAACCACTCCACACATTTCTTGTTAACAAACTATAGTTTTGGCAAGTCGGTTAGGACATCTACTTTGTGCATGACACAAGTAATTTTTCCAACAATTGTTTACAGACAGATTATTTCACTTATAATTCACTGTATCACAATTCCAGTGGGTCAGAAGTTTACATACACTAAGTTGACTGTGCCTTTAAACAGCTTGGAAAATTCCAGAAAATGATGTCATGGCTTTAGAAGCTTCTGATAGGCTAATTGACATCATTTGAGTCAATTGGAGGTGTACCTGTGGATGTATTTCAAGGCCTACCTTCAAACTCAGTGCCTCTTTGCTTGACATCATGGGAAAATCTAAATAAATCAGCCAAGACCTCAGAAAAAAAATGGTAGACCTCCACGAGTCTGATTCATCCTTGGGAGCAATTTCAAAACACCTGAAGGTACCACGTTCATCTGTACAAACAATAGTACGCAAGTATAAACACCATGGGACCACGCAGCCGTCATACCGCTCAGGAAGGAGACACGTTCTGTCTCCTAGAGAAGAACGTACTTTGGTGCAAAAAGTGCAAATCAATCCCAGAACAACAGAAAAGGACCTTGTGAAGATGCTGGAGGAAACAGGTACAAATGTATCTATATCCACAGTAAAACGAGTCCTAAATCGACATTAACCTGAAAGGCCGCTCAGCAAGGAAGAAGCCAGTGCTCCAAAACCGCCATAAAAAAAGCCAGACTACAGTTTGCAACTGCACATGGGACAAAGATCGTACTTTTTAGAGAAATGTCCTCTGGTCTGATGAAACAAAAATAGAACTGTTTGGCCATAATGACCATCGTTATGTTTGGAGGAAAAAGGGGGTAGCTTGCAAGCCGAAGATCACCATCCCAATCGTGAAGCACGGGGGTGGCAGCATCATGCTGTGGGGTGTGCTTTGCTGCAGGAGGGTCTGGTGCACTTCACAAAATAGATGGCATCATGAAGAAGGAAAATTATGTGGATATATTGAAGCAACATCTCAAGACTAGTTAAAGTTTGGTCGCAAATGGGTCTTCCAAATGGACAATGACCCCAAGCATACTTCCAAAGTTGTGGCAAAAGGGCCTTAAGGACAACAAAGTCAAGGTATTGGAGTGGCCATCACAAAGCCCTGACCTCAATCCTATAGAAATTTGGTGGGCAGAACTGAAAAAGCGTGTGCGAGCAAGGAGGCCTACAAACCGGACTCAGTTACACCAGCTCTGTCAGGAGGAATGGGCCATAATTCACCCAACTTATTGTGGGAAGCTTGTGGAAGGCTACCCGAAACGTTTGACCCAAGTTAAACAATTTAAAGGCAATGCTACCAAATACTAATTGAGTGTATGTAAACTTCAGACCCACTGGGAATGTGATGAAAGAAATAAAAGCTGAAAGAATTCATTCTCTCTACTATTATTCTGACATTTCACATTCTTAAAATAAAGTGGTGATCCTAACTGACCTAAAACAGGGAATTTTTGCTAGGATTAAATGTCAGGAATTGTGAAAAACAGAGTTTAAATGTATTTGGCTAAGGTGGATGTAAACTTCTGACTTCAACTGTATGTCATTTGTATTTGTCATTTGCTTGGTTATATGTGTAAATGTGGTAAATGTGAGAGTTTGAAGTGGGCAGACACATGCAATACTTTCAAATACTGATAAAGATCTAAACAAAACAAATTATTGCGTTGTTCACCTGTTGTTTAAAAGAAACATGACATCTTAAGAAACATTTTAATATAATTCATATGTTTCCATTTAATTTACAAAAGTACCAAAACAAAATCCAAAAGTCAAATTTTACGAAGTGCTAGGAGGTGAGGAGGCATAACAATAAGACTAGGAATGTTTACGGTTACACATACTCTCTAATGGCGGTCAAGCCCATAAATGGATCATGTTGGAGAATGGGTGAGAGCTCATTAGGAGGCATTTGGGTCCATAACAAATGAATACATTTAAAACAAAAACATGAGATGGTAAATTACCAACACAAGTTGTAAAGTATCATTACTGTTGCATTAAACAACAAAGACAAAAACAGGGTAGTTCTAGGGGAGACTGTTTGGTCAGGGTAAACTTCTATGGGTCCATTTTTCAGTATAAATCATCAACTAGATCCTCTTTATACAAAGATGTCTGGAACAATATCAAATAATATGAAAAACAACAAAATGAAAGACTATATGAACAATCTGTGCTGTTAATTTCCATCATAAATAAATGATCTCAATTAATAAGATCACAAAACAGAAGAGAGATTGGGGCAATGCTACTTTAGCACACTTGGAGGTTTGGATAAGAGGCCTGTTGTTCTTGTTTTTACGGCAACTCATTCCAATAGTGCATTGTCCCTACAATTTATTACAACCAGCACACACTGCCAGAATAACTCTCATATAATACAATTGTCTAAGTTCATCAGAGCTGATTAGTTTTAAAGTGCAGCTATGTGTCTGGTTGTGAAAAAGGGTCTTGGTATTAACCCTTCATACAAAATAGTTTGTCTTGTTGTTTGACACGTGGACAGGATGATATACAGTGAGGGAAAAAAGTATTTGATCCCCTGCTGATTTTGTACGTTTGCCCACTGACAAAGACATGATCAGTCTATAATTTTAATGGTAGGTTTATGTGAACAGTGAGAGACAGAATAACAACAAAAAAATCCAGAAAAACGCATGTCAAAAATGTTATAAATTGATTTGCATTTTAATGAGGGAAATATGTTTTTGACCCCTCTGCAAAACATGATTTAGTACAACCCTTGTTGGCAATCACAGCGGTCAGACGTTTCTTGTAGTTGGCCACCAGGTTTGCACACATCTCAGGAGGGATTTTGTCCCACTCCTCTTTGCAATTCATTAAGGTTTAGAGGCTGACATTTGGCAACTCGAACCTTCAGCTCCCTCCACATATTTTCTATGGGATTAAGGTCTGGAGACTGGCTAGGCCACTCTAGGAACTTAATGTGCTTCTTCTTGAGCCACTCCTTTGTTGCCTTGGGCGTGTGTTTTGGGTCATTGTCATGCTGGAATACCCATCCACAACCCATTTTCAATGCCCTGGCTGAGGGAAGGAGGTTCACACCCAAGATATGACGGTACATGGCCCCGTCCATCGTCCCTTTGATGTGGTGAAGTTGTCCTGTCCCCATAGCAGAAAACACTCCCAAAGCATAATGTTTCCACCTCCATGTTTGACGGTGGGGATGGTGTTCTTGGGGTAATAGGCAGCATTCCTCCTCCTCCAAACACAGCGAGTTGAGTTGATGCCAAAGAGCTCAACTTTGGTCTCATCTGACCACAACACTTTCACCCAGTTCTCCTCTGAATCATTCAGATGTTCATTGGCAAACTTCAGACGCGCCTGTATATGTGCTTTCTTCAGCAGGGGGACCTTGCGGGCGCTGCAGGATTTCAGTCCTTCACGGCGTAGTGTGTTACCAATTGTTTTCTTAGTGACTATGGTCCCAGCTGCCTTGAGATCATTGACAAGATCCTCCCGTGTAGTTCTGGCCTGATTCCTCACCGTTCTCATGATCATTGCAACTCCACGAGGTGAGATCTTGCATGGAGCCCCAGGCCGAGGGAGATTGACAGTTCTTTTGTGTTTCTTCCATTTGCGAATATTCGCACCAACTGTTGTCACCTTCTCACCAAGCTGCTTGGCGATGGTCTTGTAGCCCATTCCAGCCTTGTGCAGGTCTACAATCTTGTCCCTGACATCCTTGGAGAGCTCTTTGGTCTTGGCCATGGTGGAGAGTTTGGAATCTGATTGATTGATTGCTTCTGTGGACAGGTGTCTTTTATACATGTAACAAACTGAGATTAGGAGCACTCCCTTTAAGAGTGTGCTCCTAATCTCAGCTCGTTACCTGTATAAAAGACACCTGGGAGCCAGAAATCTTTCTGATTGAGAGGGTGTCAAATACTTATTTCCCTCATTAAAATGCAAATCAATATATAACATTTTTGAAATGCATTTTTCTGGTTGTTATTCTGTCTCTCAATGTTCAAATAAACCTACCATTAAAATTATAGACTGATCATTTCTTTGTCAGTGGGCAAACGTACAAAATCAGCAGGGGATCAAATACTTTTTTCCCTCACTGTAGCATCATCATCTTCACGGCCTCTCTTGGGTTTTGTCTTCACTTCTGTTAAATGGCAGCCTGATACAGGTCATTCGAAGTCTTACATGTGCTAAAAGGCTGTCATAAATAGCTGTGTGCTCTTCCATTTGTTAAAATATATGTGTATTTTTGTTCTCAATAGGTATAGTTATAATAACAGTAAGTGCCTTTACATACTCTTGGTCTATAGTTTTTATATGATATGAACATTCTGTTTTTCTTTGTATTTAAATTCTGTTTCGGTGTAGATAAAAGAAATATGTAATGTATCTGTGATAGGGCAAGACAACAGGGTTGTTTTACGGGTGTAAATGCCTCTTTCAACACTCAACATAAGGAATGCTTCATACTCATGGCATAACATAAGCTATACAAACTGGGACCCAACTGAGAAACAAAACAAAAAAACATACTTTCTATGTTACTTTACATTTAAAAATGTGTTTTTTGGAGTAGTTTAAATCCCAAAAGCCATCAGGAGAAACCTCTTAGCTACTTCTCAGACTAACCTCTGACCCTATCTGTGACCCTAGTCTCAGTCTTTCATCACATCACACACACCCCATTTCAGTGGGCTGGCAGTGGAGGGCAGGCTGAACGTGGGGTCAGTAGGTGAGACATGCCCTGGGGTGATGTGTCTGTGTGTTGGGAGTGGCTATGAGACGGGCACAGGCTGGCAATGATGGGGGAAGCAGTGGTACGCCACACACACCAACACATACATGTGCGGTGAGATATAGGGTGAGACACACTGCAGTGCAGTGTGGATGGAGTCTGAAGTCATCATAACCTGGTGTGTACATTGGCGATGATCTCTGGTGGAAGGTCCTTGATCGGGAGGTCCCCCGTCTCGCCCCCGCTGTCCACTGGCCCGTGGTCGGTGCTCTCACAGCTGCTCTGGGGCGACTCTGGAGGGGGCTTGTACAGAACACTGGCCAGCAGGAAGAACAGCGTGCCGAGAACCTGACAGAAAGAGGGAGGGAGGGAGACAATGAGACATGCACTATGGTTAGAGTAGGAAGAATATCATTCTCTATCAGTTAAACAAACATTTGATCTGGTTACGAGTATAAAGAAAATCATGCCCCTGCAACAGGCTTAGATATCAGCCCAGACAACGTGTAGGCCTTGAGTTACCTTGTAGATGATGCCAGCGATGAGTGTGTAGCGGCTCATGGCAGAGTTCTGGTAGAGATGGCAGGAGCCCTGCTCTCCACACTGGTCCTCCCACAGCAGGCATGAGATGTCGATCACAGAGCCAAATGCTATCGGGCCTGGGATCCCACCTTCAGGAAGAACATATCACATCATATTATGCTTGTTGTTGGGAATTTGAGGCTAAAAGGCCATTTATGAAATCAAATCAAATTCAACAAGAACATACAGTACCTAGACTTCGCACCACAATCCACTGGATCCCCAGTCCAAAGGACCTCTGGCTGTCTGGAACACACCTGTAGGAGGAGAGCCGTTTAGAGTCAGAGTTAACACACGTTTCTCTCTCATGCCTGGTTATCACAGGACTATACCACTGAGGTCTCTCTCTCTGTAGTCGGTCTGATCCGTACCCACCTGAGGGTAGCGGTGAGGGCTGGTATACTACACAGGAAGGTGAAGGAGATGATGATGAAGAGGAAGGTGAGGAAGGCTGACATGTGACTACAGGAGCTGGTACATTTCCCATCCCTCGCCTGGCCCTCCAGCCCTGATGTCACATTCCCCCCCACCACACAGCTGCAGCCCGAGTACACCTGAACAGGGACACACCAGACAGAAGAGACAGTCAGTCAAAGTCAACATGTATACTGGCTATATTCATTAACTATTGTATCTAATTTAACTCATTTATTTAATGCATCTTCCTTAATTAGTCTTCATCGAACACAGACCTGTTACACAGACTCTGTCCATCAATTTTTACAATTAGAGTTCTAACCAAAGTGAGATCTTTGCTGAAGGTTTGGTTGGTTACCTGTCTGCCTGTTGAGATCTCTGTGTGGTTGATTGTGCTGCATCCTGCGTGGCAGGGGGAGTAATACATCACATCGTCGGCTCCACAGACTGGGTTATAGAGCTCTCGTAAACAGTGACAATCTGCATTACATCCCACCGTCAGGTTGCCCCCCAACAAAGAGCTGAGAGAGAGCGGGAGAGAAAAATAGAGTTGAAAGGTTATTTTCTATGACATCCATAATCAATATCTGTTGCTCTGTATGCAGTAGTATTTATTCTACTGTGTTATTAGTGTTAATTAGCCTGAGTACCAGTCTGTTTAGCTAACATTACACTCCTTGCACTCTGTGTCATTGCAAAACTATTTGGCGGTATGTAACCTAAACAGACTTGTACCATGGCTAACTCTTGATTGTTTCGTGAAATGGAACTGGAGTAGGACAATAAGGAGCTGGTCTAGTTGTTGACTAGCTAAATATATTCATTTGCTTGAGGGGGAATATCTTGACTATCACACTGAGCGTAGACATGCATCTGACAAACTAAAATCTTTAAACTGTAAAATACTTGTCAAACAGCAGACCCTCCTCTCCTCCCCTGATGGGTTGTACAATCCCTCTGCCTCCTCTCTGTTTCATTAGCATTCAACAGCCAGAGGGCATCAACTAATGTGTAATAAACTCAGTGGTTGTGTGCCGCTTTAATGTTGAGTCATTGGTGTTGTTTACTGTGGGCTACTCTGTATGCTTTTTTAGTCTCTTAAAATTTTGAGCTCTTCCTGATTTTCACCTAAATATCCTTATCATATAATAATGTAACATTACAAAAACAATGTCAAATATTCCTTCTAATGGACACAGATTGTCTGTCTCTCCATTGGGCCTGGTCTGGGTTTACCTGTTGCGGAGGTTGTTGGCTTGCTCATAGTACTGTTCATTGTAATTCTTGTTGTACTGATTGCCCGGTGGCAGGTTGCTGCGGTAGGGAGTGGTCACCCCGGCCATAGGGACGTTGGGACAGTGGATGAGGAAGATGAATATGGCCAGTAGACTGATGAGGGCACACACCATGCAGAAACGGATGATGCCACGGCAACGTAGGTTCAGCTTCTTCACGATGTAGCCGCCCAGGAAGGTGCCACCTCCGCCCGCGGGCACCACCATGTAGCCTGGTGGGAGGAAAGGGAAGGTTAATACCCATGTGTATGTGAGGGACGTGGATGGAAGAGGATGGATGAGGATGGATGAGGATGGATGAGGATGGAAGCATAAATAGCTAAATGGTAGTAGTGTGACTAAAAGAAGGGGGGTAGGTGGAGGGGGTAGGTGGTGTTTCAAATATGTAACGTGCTGTAAGTGCATGTTTGTGTATGGGGTAATGTTAGTGATCTGATTCTATAGTCTCTCACCGAACCATGTGGCTGCCTCAGATGCACTCAAGCTGAACTGAGACTCCAGGAACTTTGGGCCGAAGGTGGACATGCCAGCAATGAGGGTGGCCTCCGTGGCCCCCGCCAGACACAGGAAGAGGAAGGGAGGGTTCTTCAGCAGGAGCAACACTGACCTGGAGAGAGAAAGAGAGAGCGAGTGAGAGAGAGTGAGTGAGAGAGAGAGCGCGAGAGAGATCTCTTTAGTAAGATCTTATCTTCTTAATTAAAGGTTCATCCCTGACCCTGGAAAAGACAGCCACAGTGAAAATAAATACTTTACTACCATGATATATTATACAATGTAATCACTGTCCTGTTTCCTCTCAGTAATCCCCCATTGCCATGGAGAACCAGCCTGCTTTCTGAGCCCAAGTGTGTTACATTGACACATAATAAACACAGTAGCTATGCATGGAGGGATTACACTATCTTATATAGGTCTTATTTCTGTGTGAGAGTTATGAAGTAAGAGTGTAGGGCTTTCTGGTGGTCCCTCTAGTGCCCTAGAGTGTAGGGTCACCTACCTAGGCATGTCCTTCACTGACTTCCCAAACTGAGGGTCTGATGCACTGGCCTGACTGCCATCTTTCAGCTGGTGGGCCTCAGACACACGCATGGCCACATACTTCTGAGAGCCTGGAGAGAAGTGGGAAAATAGAGATATTCATGTTGATGGCAAAGATTGAGTTAGTTGCTGATCTGATTTTTTTGTGTTCTGTGTTCTGTGGTGCTGGTGAAGTGTCAGTAAATTGGTAAGTAACCTGGTAGTTGGCGTGGGTAGCCCAGGATGGGCAGGGCGATGACCAGTGCTGCTGCCCCTCCTGCAAGGAAGCCTATCCACCAGGCCCCCACCCACAGAGGGTTCTCTGGAGTCAGCTCCGTCCTACACACAGGGAGGGGCACAGAAGAGACAAAGAGGGAAGGGCAATAATTAAGTTGAGAGCTTTTTATTTTTTTCTTGAGGATTTGAGCAAAGGTTAAACTACAAATGGCCACTAGAGGGCACTATTCTTTATCTGTAGAAAGGTTTTGCTCTGCTGCCATCTCCCCTTTTAAGGTGAACCATTTTTATACAGTCTATGGGTCCAACTGATTCAGATACGGTAAGTACAGCTACGTTAAGTAGCTATCTCCCTGAGGTTAGTCCAGGTGTATGGTAGGTGGAGACAGACTGACTGAGGTACTCACGTCATATGGACCTCTGTATAGATGTTGAGGAAGTATCCTCCTAGAAGGTACCCTGCTGCTGGACCCACGATGGCTGCTGTATAGAAGATCCCTGAGGAGACAGAGACCAGAGGAGAGCTGTGTGCGTCAGTTAAGGACTTCCTACTGAGTAAAAATACCTCATTGTTCCTGCTTTGATGGTTTGGTTTTCATCTGTGTTGTTTTATTGTGATTGATAAGCTCGCAGAAACAGACTGAGTGCGTTCACTGAGTCCTCACTGGAGTCAGCGAGGTGGGGATTGTCTTCGATTGCCTCTGTTGCCTTTGAAATTATGTCTGTGGTGAAACTGCTGAATGGAAAGATGGGAAGTCTAAGGGAGCGTGAGAGGGTCAAAATTGTAGGCCTCATCCTGGATGTGACATTGATCCTCCTTGATGGCAGGTCAATAGGGAACGTCAGATGGCAGGGGTTTCTGCTGAACCTCAGTTGGAGACATAACGTCACACACATCCAATTTGAAGAACTTTAATCTACAATCAAGCTCAATCAACAGGGGTGTAACAGTCTGTGACTGTTTTAGAGTTAAATACTGCCATTTCGAACCATTAGATACAATCCTCACTACACGCATGATTTCACATCTAAAACCTATTTTTACTACGTCATTCTCCGATATGTGACATCTCAAAGGTCAACCTATTCACCTATCACATCAGTGAATCAGGCTCTGCTCTCATCCGGACTAGTTTTCTGTCATTATAACTTGTCTGACAAGTCTCACATCATCCTGATTACTGCTGCTGTGCAGTGTGGGTCATTATGTGGTCACATACCTAATGGAGACGAGACCACAGGGTTATAGATCACACAGGATATCAGTCAGCACAGCAGCCACAAACACTGGCAGCACAGCACACTTCAAGAGTAGCAAGAAGCAAGTCTAGACCCCAGAAACTCAAATCCACTGGATTTTTTAATTGTTCCCCTATAGTCAGGGACTGATTTAGACCTGTGACACCAGGTGTGTGCAATTAATTATCAGGTAGAACAGAAAACCAGCAGGCTTCGGACCTCATAGGGTAAGAGTTGAGTACCCCTGGTTTAGACCATATGCAAATCAAGTAAGTCATCTACAGTTCACAGGTCCTTTGACACAGTACATTTGGTGTTGTTAGTTACGTTAAAATCAAATTTTGTAACATTATTAAACACAATGAAAACTATTCTCTGATGGATGACAAATATATGCACCACATAAATCCTGAAAAGTACACCTGAGAAAATACACGTCCCAAAAAAGATTAGATAGAACAATGGTCCTACAGTCAGTGTTGTGCTTAGTGACTCACCAATGTACACTGGAGCATAGCTGGACTTGACGTTCTCGTCCAGGTAGGTGACCCCCAGAGTGTACAGGGGCGTGGCTCCCACCCCATGCAGGAACTGGCCCAGCATGAAGACAAAGCGGTAGCTGGACAGACCCCCACCCTCCCTATCATGGCAAGGGCTGGTACGGTTCCCTGTGCATACCCCTGTCCGCTCGGGAATGCTGACATGGTACGGGGGAGTGGTGAAGTGAGGCAGGGCGAACACCAGAGAGCCTAACGCCATGACTAGCACCCCCCAGCCCAGCCAACGAGGCTTGTGCCCTGTCCCACCAAAGTAACTGACGAAGGCCAGGCACAGACAGGCAGCGATGTCGTAGGAGCTGGCGATGAGCCCGGCCTGGTAGCTACGCAGGTCAAAGCGCCTCTCTATGGAGGTCACCACCGTGTTGATGAAGCCGTTAATGATCATGCCCTGGAGGAAGGAAGCCACACAGAGGAAGAAGAGCAGCCAGCGAGGGGTGTTGAAGGTCTGGATGGCTCGGGGCGTCAGGGCCCCCCAGCCACACAGCCCTTCTGAGTCAATGGGGATGAATTTGAGGCCCATGGGGGTCTCTGTGGGCACCTCACCCCTGTAAAGCTGTCCAGGCAGAGGGGCAGTAGCCCTGGTGAGGATGATGTGGCCAGCGGGGCCTTCTCCAGCAGAGCTGCCAGGGCCTGAGCCCATCGGGCTATCCTCCTGAGAGTCCACGGGGCTGGGTGTATCCAGGAAGGGGCCCATGGGGCCGTTCTGGAGGTCCAGTAGCTCCTGCTTGGAGCTGAAGGAGGTGTCGGCATTAAGCTGGATGGGCATGGCCCCAGGGAGGGGCTCTCTGAGAGGGATAGAGGGGCCTGAGAGACTTTTGGGGAGAGAGAGAGAGTGCTAAAAGATAGGGATGCTGTTCTCCTGTAGGCTACTGTCTGTACCCAGTATGTGCCTATGCCATGGAACAGTCAAAGTCTTTGCATGTGGCAAGCACAGCTCTGCAGGAGGTCCACTATACAGGGGAATGGACAGGACATGACATTCTGGAGCCTCTGGGAAACTTCATCCTAAAGAGAGGAGAGAACAGGACAGTCAGACATTATCACATGTTATTTTGAAAATATGAAAATGTGGGGATAAAAAAAGTATGATTCTAATAAAACACATTAATTTAATCTAAGCCAATGCCTTTCTGTCTAGTGCCTGCTGACAGACAGAGGGCATCTGTCTCTGGTTGGATTTAGCCAGGTCTCATTGTACTGTACTATACTGCCTATTATCCTCCTGTGATGGTGCCAAGGCATTGGAGCGGTCCAGAGGACCAGAACAAAACACTCATGGGATTAGCTCTGCATGGTAGCATTGGCACAACTATCACTGTTTTTCTCTTATCTGTCCAGACCCACAGGTTTCCCCCAACAAACACAGCCCACTTGGCAAAAACTGGTTGAATCAACATTGTTTCCACATCAAAAAATGTATTGGTGTTGGATCAGCGTGGAAAACTGATTGAATTTGCCAAAAGTCTTCAACATATAAGTAATGGCGCCGCATTGGATAGCATTCGTTGTACAGGCTACTGACCAATTCTGCTATTTTGTGTGTTTTTTGTTGCGCTGATATTAACTTTTTTGGTGCATAATGTTTCTGCTATGACCGAAAATAGCTTCTGGACATCAAAACAGCGATCACTAACCTCGATTTGGATGATGATTTCTACTTCAACGAGTCAGAGGCGCAGGACATACTGCTCACCCTGGGCTAGGCCCTATTCCCAGAGAAACAGAAAATAAAAAAATGGCGTAAGAGGCCAACTTGCGGGCACCCTGACGAAACTACATTGGTGAGTACATAAACCACCTCTACCCTCCATTCTATTGGTGAATGTACTGGACACTGGACAACAAACTGGACGAGAAAAAACTCTAGATACCTTTACTTACATACACACATAAATGCATACAAAGCTCTCCCTCACGCTCCATTTGGCAAATTACCATAACTCTATCCTCCTGATTCCTGCTTACAAGCAAAAACTCAAAAGTGGTCAGATTAAGTGGATGCTAAGCTACAGGACTGTTTCGCTATCGCAGACTGGAATTTGTTCCGGGATTCATCCGATGGCATTGAGGAGTTTACCACATCAGTCACCGGCTTCATTAATAAGTGCATCGATGACTTTGTCCCAATAGTGACCGTGCGTACATTTCCCAACCAGAAGCTATAGATTACAGGAAACATCCGCACTGAGCTAAAGGCTAGAGCTTCCGCTTTCAAGGAGCGCAATACTAATCCAGACGCTGATAAGAAATCCCACTACGCCCTCCGACAAATCATCAAACAGGCAAAGCAGGACTAAGTTAAAATCCTACTACACCGGCTCTGACGCTCGTCGGATCTGGCAGAGTTTGCTACCACGGATTACAAAGGGAAGCCGCGAGCTGCCCAGTGACGCGAGCCTACCAGATGAGCAACACTGAACCATGCATGAGAACACCAACTGCTCCGGACGACTGTGTGATCACGCTCTACATAGCTGAAGTGAGTAAGACCTTTCAAAAAATTTCAAAACATGAGCATAAAAACAGGTAATAATAAACATTAATCATCATTATATTACTTCAGAGTAATCTGTTAAATGCTTTTTCAGTCCTTCCTCTTGCGTTGACAGAGTGGAAAGTTAATGTCATTTGTGGTCTTATGCTGCCTATTAATATTTAGCAGTACCTACAAATGTCACAGAATAAGTGTATAGTAATCCTTACTGAAGTAGTAATTACTGTTAGTTCATTTTATCACTTACAACCATAAAATAGCTATTTACAGCATAACAATGAACAATGCAACAATGGTCCATATATAGCCTTAAACCAAAAACACCATACATTTAGTAAATTATTAAAAAAAACACTTTCTTAAGATGGGTAACATTATCTGCTAAAGTAACACCCCCATAAAGCGCCAATCAGCAGTTGAAACAATAACAAAGTTGCCTCCCGACATTGTTTTGGTAAAAAGCTGGGATGGGGCTGGAGAAAGTGTTCGTTTTTTTTTTTACAAACAAGCTTGTATTTTGTGTTCTGATAGAGAATGACAGTTCAACTAAGCTCATGAGGCATTTATAAGTTATATTATTTTCTGAATCAATCTGTAGATATAATTAATTTATACGTTTTAAAAAATGGATATGGATCCAAAAATGGATGCAGTAATGTCGTCCAAAAAGTTATACTTTTGAATCATCTGTCCATAGAACGTTCTTCCAAGAGTCTTGATGATCATCCAGGTGCTTTTTGGCAAACTTGAGTCAACTTTTTGGACGAGATGGGTCCCATTATGCCTGGCGAAAACCAAACACTGCATTCCACAGTAAGAACATCATACCAAAGGTCAAGCATGGTGGTGGTGGTGTGATGGTTTGGGGATGCTTTGCTGCCTCAGGACCTGGACGACTAGCCTTAATAGAAGGAACCATGAATTCTGCTCTGTATCAGAGAATTCTACAGGAGAATGTCAGCGCAGCTGGGTCATGCAGCAAGACAATGATCCAAAACACACAATCAAGTCTACATGAAAATTGCTAAAAACCAACAAATTTGATGTTTTGGAATGGCCTAGTCAAAGTCCAGACCTAATCCCAATTGAGATGTTGTGGCAGGACTTGAAACGAGCAGTTCATGCTTGAAAACCCACACGTCACTGAGTTAAAGCAGTTCTGCATGGAAGAGTGGGCCAAAATTCCTCCACAGCGACATGGGAGACTGATCAACAACTACAGGAAGCATTTGGTTGGAGTCATTGCAGCTAAAGGTGGCACAACCAGTTATTGAGTGTAAGGGGGCAATTACTTTTTCACACAGGGGAATTGGGTGTTGCATAACTTTGTTTATGAAACAAATGAAATAAATATGTAATTGTTGTGTTATTTGTTCACTTATGTTCCCTTTATCTAATATTAGGTTTTGGTTGAAGATCTGATAACATTCAGTATCACAAATATGCAAAAGTAGAGAAAATTAGAAAGGGGGCAAATACTTTTTCACAGCACTGTAAGCACAGTTGACACCATCGAGGTGCGGATGTTTACTTTCTACATGAGTTGTTCTTTTTCAGTTTCGACCTAAGAACAGATTGTAGTGGTAAAATAAAAAGGTATAAATTTTTTGGTGCCATTTAGGGGAAATGGAATTCTAAGCATCACTCCAGTCAGAAGAGGCTCTGCAAAAGTTTGTTTAGATTCATTTGCTATGGCCTCGCGCTAGTTTTCCAGCTCAGCCAACATTCTTTGGCTGTTTTTCAGCCTTGGGTGAATTTTGACGCGTTCTATTGTCCAGCCTATTCATAGCTAGCAGCATGGAGTCAGGGACATAACCAAACTGTTGCTGAGATAATGGATGTTGAGACTTCCAAGGAGAAAAGAGGCATTGCTGAAACTCATTCATATGCTTGCAGTGTAGAAAAGGTGGGTGAATGTGATTCATACCCGAATACCCCAACCAAGGAGCAACTTCCAAAGAGGCTGAGAAGCGAACCATCACTGAGTCAGCTACAGGACAACATCGTCCGCATCCTCACAACGAGAGCGCAGATGACATCATGGACTTGGTGAAAAAGAACACTGTCAGCATCGTTAACCTGAAGAAAGCCATTGATTTCAATGCTGAGGAAGTAAATACTCTGAAGCAGCAGAACGCAACATTGAAAACTCAGGTTGCAAAGCAGGAGAAGAAACTCACTGAAATGGAGTCAAAGGTAAACGAGACTGACCCGTACAGTCAGAGATGGAATCTTCGAATTTACGGAATCGCAGAAAGATCTGACGAGAACATCAATGCAAAAGTGAAGGACATTTGCAGGGCAATAGTCCCGGAGGATGAGCGAAATGTTGTTGCAGGTTCTCTGGATGTGGTGCACCGCCTGTGTAGGCTGAGAGATTGGGAGAACAACCAGCCACCACGACCAGTGATCATGAGATTAATCTCCAGGACTGCGAGGGATCTGACATGGAAAAGTGCAAAGAAAAAGGACTATTTAAAGAACAACAACCTGAGGTTCAAGGAGGACATGACAGCATTTGATAAAGAAGCTCGGAATCGTCTATGGCCGATGGTTGAGAGAGCAAGGAAGGAGGGGAAAAGTGCATACTTCGCGGGAGCCAAGGCTTTTGTTAATGGAAGGGAAATTTGTGCTGACGCCTAGCTTGATGGCTACTGGAGTGGGGCAGGACTGATTTTTATTTGCAACTGGTAAAACGTTTTATTTTGTGAGGAAAGAGCATTAATTGTGTGAGGCAAGTTTTATTTTATTTTTTTATGGCAGGAAATTCGCACTGTCACTTAATGTTAGCTTGATGGCTATTCGTTTTACCAATGGATGGCGCAGATGTTATTTGCAATAGATCGAACGTTACCACCTGCGTGGTGCAAAGGACTGTTTTTATTTGCAACTAGTAAGAACGTTTCATTTTGTGAGAACCCGGTTCATCTGAACTTATACAACTTTCATATTCTTCATTTAGTCACTGTGATAGTAAATGTCAATTTCAGTGTTTTCTATTAATGCCAGGGGAATCCGTAATATTTTGAAAAGGAAATCTTTATTTTTGTATTGTAAGGGTAAGAGTGCCGACTTTCATTTAATTAAAGAAACTCATGCCTGTTCCACAGATACTGCGTTTTGGAAGTGTCAATGGGGGAATGATATTTGGCTTTCATTTGGTACCAATCGGTCAGCAGGTGTCGCTATTTTAAAAGGCAACTTTAAGGGTCATATACTGAGTCATGAAGGAGATGATGCAGGGAGATGGATTATGCTATTGGTAGATGCCAACCACATTCAATTAATTGTTGTGAATACTTATGCTACCAATAACAAGTCAAGTAACTGTATTTTATTTAGAGATATTGAGAGGAAAATAAGTCAAATTATGTCTAAATTTCCGTTGGCCAAAGTAATATGGGGTGGCGATTTTAATACAGTATTACATGATCTAGTTAGATGGCCTCCTAAGGATAGCAACTCTGATTGTGAGATAAGGAATATGATAAGACGTGTTTTACACAGGATTCGTTAATGTCTT